TCAGTTATTTTATTATAACATACTTTGGAAGGTTATACACCTCCTCTATAGTATATATAATTTAATTTATTAAATTTATTATAATTTATTTGTTTTAAGTTAATGTGCGCTTCCCTTTTGGTATCAGAGCCATTTAAGTTATATATATAATTTTATATATATATATATACTCATACATATATATATATATATATATATGTATGAGTATATATATATATATATATATATATATATATATATATATATCCACGGGTATTAATTCGTACCCACCAATACTCCTATCCAAGTAGTCCATGTGGCCCAATGGTTGGTCCATTACTACAATCCATATCCAATTTCTTAAAATAAAATAACATAAAATAAAACATTTAAATTAAATAATTAAATAAAAATAAATACCTAGCATTTAGAACAAATAGCACACATCATTTAATTAACCAATTAATTTAAATGAACATATAAATAATTAATTCAATTAAACATATAATAAATAGCCAAATAAATCAAATAAAATGCAATAAAACCATTAATTAAATATCAAGATTATCCTTTTAAAATTAGGGGTATTACAGCTCTCACCTCAAATTACATAAGTTTGATGTGGCTATGGTTTACAGTTGCGGTAATGGTCGTGGTGTAACGGATTCGAATGAATATCGGTGTAAACCGGCCGAATCAATCAGTTCATGGGATGTTTAACGGTATTGAACATTTAAAAAAGGGTTACGAATCAAACAATACGTCACATATCGGTCGATACGATGAACCATGGATGTGGCTGAATAAGAATGTATAAATTAAGTTAAAAGAAATAAACTGACTATGTAATGTTTCTGATTTTTATTATTTTTTATTTTCTGGAATTTTTTGGGTTTATTTTCGTCTTGTCTCGTTTTATGTGCCAGACACCATGTGGTGTGCCGGGTGTGTTTGAGAGTTGGTTGGGGCATTTCTTTAAGTTTAGGACTCTTGGAAATCCATTAGTTGTCATTTTGGCATTTTTTCATTTTTTGGGCTGGGAGGGCCCAGGTGAGGCCCATTACCAGGTTCGTTGTGTACAGGGGTTGTGTTTTGGGTCCATTACATTTCATGCATGTTTATTTAATACATTTTTTGTAGATATTGTATGGTTGTATAATGTTTATTTTGTGTGTGTGTGTGTGTGTGTATATATATATATAATAATGATAAAGGAAGATTTTTATTAAGCAAGGGAGACTCACCATCATTATAACAACAGTCAAATGACCACAAGGTCATTACAGAACCATTCTCATTCCCTCTCAGTTGTCAGTTTCTCTCTCCTCACATATTTTTATTTTATTTTTTTTCTTTTTCTACAAATTTCAAAGCTTGATCTTTCTCTCTACATTTAGAATTTGATTTTGCCATATAAAGGAAAGTTGTCAAGCTCATTGTGGTCTTCGTTTTGATCGGAGCTGATTTTTACTTGGACACCCTTTGGATTTCGAATTTTGGGTCTTTTTCTTCTAATTGAGGTAGGGGTGCTCTAATCCATGACTTTTTTTTTTATTTTGGTGAATTTTCTCTCTTTAATTTGAGTCCAAGCATGTTTAAATTGATAATTTTGTCTTATGGTTTTAAGGGTTTTCTGTATAAGTGTGTTCTATATGATTATATGATTGAAAATGCATGCTACTTGGAATTGTTGGATGAAGCATGTTAAACTGAATTTTTGTTTGAGTTGTATGTGTATAAATGCTGAAATTTTATGTTGTCAAGGTATGAAATATAACTACTATGATGGATGTATTGGAATTGTTATGAGAAAGTATGATGCATTTTATTTCTAGAATTTCTGTAGAGGCATGTTATAATGTTGTGATTGATTTCAAATTATAGAAATTTGTATAATGTCATGATTGTATGTGGCATGAGACTTTCATGCATTTCATTGGGAAAGAAAAGAGAAAAAGTTTGTTTTAAAAGCAAATGAAATTGATTTTGGAGAAAATGTTTTGAAAAGGGTTGGAACGGTGAAATGGAGATGTTTTGAAAAATGGGGTGCGACATTTGGCATGTCATTGCGTTACATTGGCCTGCATTGTATTCATATGGTTAGATGGCTTGAATTGAAATTGTAGTTATTATTGTTGTTACTATATTTTTCTCCCTATAGCATGATCCCGTCTACTTTTTACTTATGTTTTACATAGATTCACGGGGTCATTAAGAGGTGTGTCTTAGACACCTCCTACTGAGCCGTTGTGCTCACTCCATTATTTGAACATTTTTCAGGATACGGGAAAGAGGTGGCGGACGACGACCACCTCAGGCTTAGACGGGGTTGGAAGCCTTTACTTTGATATCTTTTGTATTAGAACCATATTCCTCTGTAAAACTTTAGTATAATTTGTATAATGTTGTAAGTTATGGACTTTTAATTTTAGCTATATTTCATAAATTGTAACTTGATGTAATTAATATGCGTTCCTTGTAAAGGATTATGGAACTAAGGAATGGACTGGTGTTTCCATGTTTTGAATGAATTGGAGGAACAAGACTCTTTTTATATGTATGTTGTTGATTTTGGGAATATTGTATATTATTTGTATTGCATGTTGGGACAGGTGTTTAGATCATTTTTATGGCCCCAAGTGAGGTCATTGCATTTTATATGCATTTCAGCAGGTTGTAATAGGACTCTTTCTGCAAAGATCATGTCTGTCCACCGAATTTTAGTGCCTGTCAACTGGTATTATTTTGGGTCATTATAAACAATAGTGTCTTTTTAATAAACTGATAAGTCAAAGAAAATAATTGATAATTTTAACAAAGGATAATGATTTGGAGTTTAGAAAGAAGTGGGAGAACTCCGGCGCGAGCACAATCGAGCTGATGTCATCATAATGCAATTAGCACCCGCATAAAATTTCACATAAAATCAATCAGATTTATCCACCACTGGCATAATTGTAATGTCAATTTCTGCCTTGGATGATAGCAGTTACCACCTACATAAAATCAGTTGAATATCATTACTCTTTTAACCATGTAGACTTCACCTGATATTATTTTATTATTTGTCAATTATTTACTTTTTATTCATATTGTTTAGTCCGCTTAGATTCTCTCAATAGTATAAAACTTATGAATCTTAACATAAGACTCACTATAGATGAGATTGAAAATTAACATTTTTGAACATCTCTAATCGTCCAGACTCAAACTTTTGAGTTTCTAATTGCTTCCAAAATGATGTTAATTTTGAACTACTAATTTGAATTACTTTCAGTTTTTAAAACAGTCTCTTTGCATACCAAAGTAAAACTACATACATCCCATTTTCTTTGAACTATACAATAATTAGAGTCTCTTGCACTAAACCCTTTTCTTAGAACTTGCAACAGTTAATCTTTACTTTGAACTTGTCTCATTATCACCTACCTCCTAATTTCTAATTATTATTTAGTGCCAGTTTATGCTATACACACACGCACATATGAAATCATTGGGCCAGCATTGTATATGCTGGTCCTGTTTTTTTATTGTATATACATACAATATACTTATATTTATAGATAGAGAATTAGAACTAGATTACTATATAGCGGGTTGGTACACCTTGCCAAAACTAAAGTAAGGTAGAAGAAAAATTAGTCATTAAAGACACGTTCCCATAATAAACTTGTTCAAAATATCATACAATGCTGGCCCTTTTTTTGTTTTTTTTTTTTATTGTATATACATATAATATACTTATATTTATAGATAAAGAATTAGAACTAGATTACTATATAGCAGGGTTGGGACACCTTGCCAAAACTAAAGGTAGAAGAAAAATAAGTCATTAAGGACACGTTCCCATAATAAACTTGTTCAAAATATCCCTAGATTCTTATATATTACAACTATTTTCTATATTATATAAAAAATTAAACTGAAGTAAGTTAGAAGAAAAATAAGTCATTAAAGACACGTTCCCATAATAAACTTGTTCAAAATATCTCTAGATTCTTATATATTACAACTATTTTCTATATTATATAAAAAATTAATTTTTTAGCAAACAATTTTTTAATTCTTTTTTAAGACCACCCCTTCCACAAACATTGTAAAAATGATAACAAGTTGCAAAAAATTTTCTTTAACTTAAAGGAGTGTATCGTGGTATGACAAAAGGTGCAAATTGTTATGAAGATGGATCGGTGACCCGTCGGGCCTGTGCGTCCCAAGCGAGACGGTTCCGACGCTGGCATGCGTTCTCTCAACAGGATTTTATTTGGGCATGCCAAGTGGGTCAAGATTGACAGTCTAGCCTAGCTCAATGCACGAAACTCCTAGATCTTGTCATTGCAGGAAACTCGCTTGCTCTTACACGAGACTATTTTCTTGTTTTGAACGGTGACCTTCAGATTACAAAAGAACAGCCCTTTAACTCAAACTCAATTCAAAAAGTAATTTACAATCCCGGGTTCGGTAGTCTGTGCATAAAAAACCATAGAAACAACTGAAAGTAAAAGCCCATTTACCGAAAATAGAGTACTCTGTATCACAGTCAGTCTCTCAGAGCCAATCAATTTCCTCAAAAATATCAATCTGAAGTCCTTCAGATCTATCAAATACTGTAAACATCCAAGGCCGGCCAATGTATGCATTAGGGTTGCTAAACTGAGAATTGGGCACCAATTAGAGTTCAAGGATCACAGAAGACCACAGGTTTTTGTAACCGGATGCCATTCGAGAACTCAGGACAAAAAATATATGTATTAGGTAGACCTGGCGCTGGATTTTCGTTTCAATGACACCAAAGAATATGAAAATGCACAAATCACAATCGTTAGTAAGGTGTGTCGTATGCTAACTTAAGTTACTGTTAAGGTGTTGCATTGCGTTATTAAGGAACAAAAACAAATGCTAAGAAAGGAAAGCCAAGTGCTTATCTTCAAAAAAACCACTATTTTCGACCTATAGAAAAATGGTACCTTACAAGTTAACAAGCCAAAAAGACCGACAACAATCAGTGGGAACAAGGAATGGAGCATCTGAAATACACCATTGTGCCTTAGCATTCATGATAAATGCATTATTGGGTTAACAATGTATTAAAAACATATCTGAAAAGCATACCGAACATGTTAAAAGTGAGAACATTGTTCCATACTCTATATCTCATGTGGGTAAAAGGGCTGATTTGAATTTTTATTTTTCCTTTGGTCAACTAGTTGGAATAGAAACCACTCACGGTAATGTAAAACCATTCACAGTCATTCCTCCGTCTACAGAAATAACCTGCCCAGTTATGTAAGAAGCAGCAGGTAGACAAAGGAACACCACCAGCGACGAGACTTCCTTTGGTTCTCCAGGGCGCCTAAGAGGAGTTCGAGATATCACCTTCTCCAAGAATTCTTTGTTTTCTAGCAACTTCAAAGGAATAAAACCTTCAGAGTCAATTGACAAAAAAATTCTGTAAATGATTTGCTAAAATTTAAGGTCCACATCAAAGTTGCTTAAACAATCTCTAAATTGAAATCCCAAGCTGCAATTTAAATTTTAACAGCAACCCTGATTTGTAATTCGGGTAATTTTGAAAATATAATTTCAAATCCCACTATATAACTATTTTGTTTTACACCAAAATCCCAAGAAAGATACCTACTGAAAAAGGGGAAAGAATCCCAAGAATTATCAACTTGAATAATTCACATGATTTGTAATCTCACCTCCTCACAGACTGAAACGGCCAAATCCCAATTTTCTCACACTCCAAATGCAGAAACTGAACAGTCAATCAATGTTTTCTAGCATTCATTTTACAAGGGGCAACCCTGATTTTCATAACTGACCCATGAAAGCATTGTATTATCAAGTCCACTAAAAATTTTTGGCATTGAATGGGCTCCAAATAGAAGATTCAAACCTTTTTACCTTGGCACTAGGGAAAACTAGTCTCAGAGAACACTAATATGATTTAACATTATGAAGTTGTCCTGCATAACAATGAAAGTAATTGGAATTTTACCAATAAGGACCCTTGTTGTTGTTGTTGTTGTCTGTAGTTGTTGTTAAGTAAGCAAAACACAGTCACACACCCATGTTGCCCTACTTGGGCTTGAATCATTGGCCTCTCCTTTGGAGGGGTAGAGGTCATAACACCTAGGCCAGAAGTTACTGATAATGACTTCAGGTTTTAGTAAAGTTGCACAATTAACCAGGTGTTCAACCTACTCGAACTTTAAGTATTAATTTTGTAGTTTATGCAATAGTAACCATGGCATCAAAATCTCCAAATATCCATTGCGGTTTTACTTGTTAGAGAGTTGCCATTTTTCTAATCAAATACACTTCAAAGTTGACAACATTAAAACCAAAACAAAAACCAGATGATATTTCCATCGTTCAATTTAAGATGATCAAATACATTCCAGTAATTTGATATGCAAAGTTTTTTCTTGCAATTTTAGTTAATTTAGGGGAAGATAGTTTTGCCTTGTCAAAATCTAAGTGAGGTAGTTATGGGACATTTCAGATTAGGAGCATATGATTTATGGCATGAACATAATGTATATCAAGGCATATAAATGCAAACAAAAAGTGAATGAATACTTGCAAGTTCATCGAAACTTCAGAACCACCATTGTGGAAGGTCTTAAAAATATTGCATTATTAATTAAATAATATTGCATCATTAGTATCACTAATCCATTTTATTTATTTATTTATTTATTTTACCTTGGCAAGAAACTGCCCACTTTGCCCCTATGGGTACTCGAACCCATGACCTCCTACTTAGGAAGGTGAGGAAGTACTGCTAGGTTACAGCCCTTGGTATTAGTGTCACTATTCCAGAAGTATATATGCATTCATACATAGTTATTACATACACAGGCACTCTGTCACTTGTATATCTATATCAGAAAAATAAAATTAAAAAATGAATGAAAATATTCATATTGTTCACTGTCATCAGTTGGAATCGGTAGAAAAGGCATTTTCCACTCTTTTTTCCATTCTTGTAGGGTGGTGGGAAAGAAGGGGAGAGGCTTTAAAGAAGGCAGTATTAGAAAAGCAGAACATAGGATCCAGGAGACCCTGGCGTGGGCTCTTATAGATCTGAACATAGTGTTTGATCATTTTTAGTATGCCATCCCATCGCAAAAGAACTGAATTTTTTTTGTGCAGGCTCATATGGAAAAAAGGTTCAAAATGGCACAATTGCAGCAATAAAACATCAATATACCTACTTCAGTTTTAATTATAATTTAAAGAATTCTCCAAATTTTTAAATCAAGTTGGATCCATCTGGGGATCCTTTCCCCTTCCGCACCCCCTCCACCGCACCCCACCCCCCTTCCTTCCCATCCTGTGTATTAAAAATAAAAAGAAGCATCAGCTAATTTGACTGATTATTGAGATGATCTCTTATAAATACTAGGTACCAGTTCACTCAACTAAGCAATATGTATGAGGACTGCCACTGCGGCGATGATGATGGAATGGTAGGTATTCTGTTATTGTTGAAATAATGAACAATGAACAGCGGAATATTAATTAATTGCATAAAGCAAGCCTATTTCCCCCAAAAAATAAGTGTTAAATTAGAGAATGCATATTTTTCTATAGAATATGGCAAGTACATGCCTAGTCCAAATAGTGTTTTCTAATAAAATAAACAAAATCCAAAAGAACGATGAGTAAGAGAAAAGAATATTACATGTTCTACGAGTGAGGTTCTGATATACCAGGGTGCCACAGAATTACATCGGATGTTGTCTTTTGCCCATTCACAAGCCAAATTCTTTGTAAGTTGATTTATTGCACCTGTGAGCAGCATAAGGGAACCAAAAGCCTGTTAACTTCACCCCGTCAAGTTTCCATTCAATACTAATGCAACAGAAAGTACCATGTCATGACGGTAACAGACCTTTAGTTGCTCCATAAACGGATCCAGTAGATAAGTTCACCAGACCCGCAACAGAGGAAATGAAAATAATACTTCCAACTCCAGATGCTTTTAGATGAGGATATGCAAGTTGGCACAGATGGTATACAGATTCAAGATTAGTAGCCATAAGCATTGAATATTCTTCAGCAGTGAACTCAGTAGTCGGCTTCCTGATGTTTGTCCCAACATTGTTTATCTAAAACCATGAGATCATGAATAGTAACTGTAAAAGGGGCCAAGGACTAAATTTTTTCCTTCTTCTGACATTTTTTCCCGCTAAAGTAAACAACAAGAGTTCACAGGCACAACATTGTTCGTCTAAAGCCAAAGAATCATGCAAAGAAACTCTATTCAAAGGTGCAAGGAACAAAAAAAAAAAAAAAAATGGGTCCAATGCAATTTAAGTTAGAAACATTAATAAAAAAAAAAAATTCCTAGTTGGTACTCACACACACATGCCTCCACGGAAGCTCGAACCCCTAGCCTCTCTTTGAGAAGTAGGGGCCTGGTACCGCTAGCCCACTGGCCTGTTGGTAACATTAATAATTGAAATAACAGCTCTCTTTTTCCATGGATTAATAATGTGGAGTGGTATTATAAAATAATATCAAGCACGTATCATGTCTGATAGAGTGATATTTAAAGTTTAAGCCCATTGAAAAGCCATAATTTGTCAAAGGGTACTAGTACCAAACAATTAATCTGATTGAATGTAGATCATTACCTTAATGCTATGTTCGGTGGCATGAAATTGGTGTCTTGGAATTGGAATTGGATAAAAATTAGTTTAAACTTTGAATTAAATTTTCTCCAATTCCAAGCAACTGAACATGAAAGATTTTACTACAGCTACCAACCTGAACAAAACACACACATATATATAAAGAGAATTTATAGGCCTCCATACCGTCCAAGAACAGACACACGCACCCCATACATAAAAATGACAAAATTGATGTTGACATTATCTACCAAACCAAATGATTTTGAATAAGCAGAGGTTGAATTCGACTGCATGGAATTGGAGGCTTAGAATTAGAATTATTGAAATTGGAGAAATTTTTGGTTCAATTTTTTTAAGTTGCTTTTCTCCTATTCTACCAATTCCAATTCCATTCAGCCGCACATAGCGAGAGTGTATTCATGCACATTTTGTATACTGTATTACATATATTGATGCAGGGAATATCATAGAGCATATACAGAGTTGTGGAGGGCACATACGAGTATGTTGAGCTTGCCATTGAAAACAGAGGAGACCTTTTCCATGAGCTGCTCACGTTGGGGACGAGAAGACGCATCGCAAACCGAACCGGTGACTGCAAAGCCCTTGGCAGCCCATTCTTGCAAGCAATGGTTGAGCTCCGCTTCGTTGCGAGAACAGGTGTGTACAGTTGCCCCCATTTCAGCTAGTTCCTCCACAATCGCATGCCTGAACAAATTACAGTTAAAGCTATCAAACCCTAGAAATGATTTCGAGAGTATTTGGTAATCAACGATTTTAGCGGTCGAAAATCATATATAGAGAGAGAGCGGGGGGAAGAGAGAGAAAGACCCAATTCCACGAGTGCCGCCGGTGACGAGAGCGCTCATTCCGGTGAGAGACCATCTCGGAGCTCTGCTACTGCTATCTACTTTCGCCATGTTCGTTGTTAGTGTATTATAAGAAAAACCTTTCCTCCACCTTATTGAGAAATCTTTCTGTGATTTTTTGGGTTTCAAAAATGGGACTTATCCAAATTGGTCCAGCTTCGAAATTCTCCAAATGGGGTATTCTTCAAAATTGCCTATTTATTTATTTGTATTATTTGAAAATATAATAAGAGTAATTTAATAACAGATAAATATCTAGAGGCTAATTAAAAATACTGTAAGACTCACACTGATGTGGTTCAATCACGATCACAAATGTCCAAATAATTTATAATTATAAAAATATATATATATATATATAAATAAATTCAGTTATCCTCTCTGATTTTCTTATTTATTATTTTTCTATTCTATAATTGCAGATTATATGTGTATCTGTAATTGGACCATATTAGCGATCGTTAGAAATGACTCTTCAATAGGTAGGCAAGTCTTATCCTTAAAAATACAATATATGTATATATAAAAGTGCGTGAGTATAAAATAATTTAATACAAAATAATTACAAATACTACAATTTATACACAACACTTTCATATTTAATAAGTATTTATACAATTAAGACAAAACTACCCCTATCTTTTTAAGAATTACCCTTACCTCTTTGTCTCCATGTATGAATGAACTTAGGTTGCTTCGGTTACATGGAATTGCAATTCAAAAAATTAAACTAAATTTTTATCTAATTCCACCAATTTCAATACAAAGACTTCAATTTTAACAAAATCTTAACTATTTTCTTTCTTCATCAAATAGACATTGGTTCAATTAAGGCACATTGCCACACTCTCTCTCAACATCATCCTAATATAAGTTTGGAAAGAGAGGGCCAACAAGTTTTTATCTTAAAAGAGTATATTTTGAGCAATGTTATTTTCTAAGAATTTTTTTTTTTTTTTTTTGTCGGATCAATTTAATACCTGTCCGCTTTTCATCATATATAGCTAGGCTCATTCTAATACATCAATATCATTGTGGATTACTCTTCGAAACTATAATACTTCACCAAGTTAACTAGTCTCATGAATAAATTCCAATTACCTATTAATCCGACTTAATAATTCCAATGATGACATGATCAATCCCATTGAGATATTCTTCTTCTTCTTTTTTTTCTTTTTTTTTTTTGCATGTGACACAAAATTTTCTGAATCACAATTAGTTACAATCACAAAAACAGAAATGAGGTAGAAACTCAACTACTGTCATCATATAAGCTTCACACAATTAACAGATACACGGGCATTTAGCTTGTTTTTTTTTCATAAAATTAAAGTGAAAAAGAAAGAACACATAATAAGCTAGCAAAGAATTTCATTTTTTCCGACAATATTGCCAATCAGGTGAGTCCATAAGCTTGCCTGAGCTCATGGTCCAAGTCTTCCAACGCCGAAACAGCAACACTATCTATGTCTCTTCCGGTCAACTCCCTCGTCACTGTAAGAGCCACGAATTGGTTGATTTGGGAAGCAACAAAAATCGATGAGAGGTCATGTGGTGCAACAAGATTAGGGTTAGGGTTAGAATCTGAGGTGCAAACCTGCGATGGGTATTCAGCTTCCAATGTTTTAGAATTATTTTGATCATGATGATCAGGAACTTCATGGCTTTGTACGTGGACTAAGAGGTAATTGCCTAAGCCTAGCTCTATCCTTCCTATATATGTTAGAGAGCAACTGATGGTAAATTCACAGTATGTTCCGTACATCAATTTTCAAGATTATGAGGATTGAGAGTCAAATTCTGAGGTAATAGAGATTTCGGCCTCTTAACTAAGATTAAGTATAATGTCTATTCTTATTAATTTAATATATGATATGTGGGCCAATATTAGATTTATTTTTTGAAGAGAAGGGCCCATCACCCTAGCTTGCTGAGCGTCGCTTTGGCGTTGCACTATTGCCTTGGCCTGGCGCACCGCACCCAATACTAGTTAATAGATTTTGAAGGCTTGTTCATGTTTGGTACCTGGTAGGTTACTTAGTTATATGTTGGGCCTCAGCTTGTGTATTCTAAGATGCTAGATTTGGAAGCCAGTTGGGCCTGGAATTGTGGATTCTAAGGCGCTAGACTTAGAAATCAGTTGGGCCTGGGGCTTGTTCCTTCTAAGGGCCCTGATGCGATTAAATTAAAGACTTTAAAAAATTATGCATGGCCAAAAGTGATGATTTTGATGTGCAAAATAGATTCTAACTTAGATGGTATAAGTATGGTGTATTTGTTTTAATTATTAAATTTTATTAAGAAAATAGTACGGAGTAGATTCTAACTTAGATGGATAAGATATAGCTGCGGTGTATTTGTTTTAACTATTAAATTTTATTAAGAAAATAATAGATTCTAACTTAGATGTTATAAGATATATTTGTTTTAACTATTAAATTTTATTAAGAAAATAATAGATTCTAACTTAGATGTTATAAGATATATTTGTGGTATATTTGTTTTAACTATTAAATTTTATTAAGAAAATAATAGATTCTAACTTAGATGGTATAATAAGATATAGTTGTGGTGTATTTGTTTTAACTATTAAATTTTATTAAGAAAATGATGTGCAAAAGATGATGCATTTATTTTTACTATTATTATTATTTTATTTAAAAATGATGTGCAAAAATGTGAGGGTTTGATGAGATGAAAAGGTAGTAACAATCAATAGATTCAATAGACACATTGGCGTAGTGGTCATGAAAAGCTCAAAACCTTTTTCACTAGAAGCATGGTGGTGATGAGAAGGTGAGATATGTGGTGTGGATACTAGCAGTGGTGGTACCATTGAATGGACAATTACTTGTGGGTTTGGGCTTGTGATTATTATATCTACATCTGTGCTATATATATATAAATATATGATTATATTCACCCATCAAAGTCTTGGCATCAATCAATTATCACAGGCCCCCCACACCTTCCATTGAAGTGAATTTATATTCTATAAACTAGGTAGGGCTGTTGAGTTGTTCTAGTTTGATCTCTTGACTAGAAAAATGATGTCGTAAATTCGAAAAAGACTAATTATGATTCTGAGACGTAAAACCTAACCAAAGTCTTTAGCGAGGAATTTCTATAATTATATTCCACCATCAAAATCTTTATCACAGGCTTACACCTATATCACTGAAGTCTCAAACAATTCCAAAGTCTATATATTAGTTGTGGTTGTTGAGTTGTTCAATTTCCCTTGAAAAATGACAATGGTTGGGGAAGTCATATTTGTTATTTTATCTGAATGGGAGATGATATCATTATAATATCAACGTAATATCGTTCGACTTTCAAATATTGTATCAAAACTCTTTAAATTTACGTAAACTTTATTTATTTTCAATTTAATTCTTAATCATCTGGTAACATCGTATTTCTATTGTTTAGACACATTATAATGCAATTCCTAATTTAAAGTAGAGTATGTTTTATCATAATGGAAATGGGGCTGCAAATTCATTAGTAATATAGGAACGTGTGTTCGGATTATATAAAAGACTGAAACAAGTTGCAACGCTGTGTTGAAATCAGCTCTTCGGTTTCTGACTCTTCACAGAGATTTCGCTGCACATCTTGAATTAAATGAGGAAATTACACTTTAAACTTTTCTCTAGCCATCTTAAACATAAGAATATATTATTACCATTTTTATATGGCCAAATAGCAATAAACACAGCTGAATTATCAACTTGTTGCAAGATCACTCTTTGCATTGTAAAAAGTATCAATTAAGGGCCTGTTTTTGTTCTAACTTGAAACAAAATTAGTGTTTTGTTGTAGAGTGGTTTGAATAGTAATCAAAAGCATATTTGGTGTGAGATATAAATTTGTAATTGGCATATTTCGTTATCAAAATGAGTCCGATTGAGTTGTAAATTTTCAGTTCGATTTGTCAAAAATCAAGATCGGAAGTGGAACTAAAGAAGTTTAAGTGTTACTTCGATACACTCTGAAATGATGAAAACAATGTTTTAGAAATGTATGAGAATGTGTGTGAGTACACTTGGGAAGTTTAAAATTATGCTTTTGAGAAGTTTTACATTATGCCCAACTTGAATTGGTTCAAGTCTCTTAAACAAGTTCAACTTTTGAGGTTTTTTTTTGGTGTTTTTCAAGTCTGGCCAAGTTGAATCAACCACCCTGAATCGGTTCAAGTGTCAAAGTTGTTTTCCTTAAAAACTTACTGGCCAACTTGAACCTGTTTAAGATTTGTAAACTGTTTTGGTAACTCTGTTTCCTACTCTGCTTTGACTTCCTATTGTGCATAGACTTTTACCATATTAATTATGCACGAAATTAATTTGTTTTCCAAGTATAATTAGGTTTTCAAAAGTCAATAAAAACATGTTTTCTCACTTAGGGTTTCATGGCTTTTTGCGTATAAAATTCTGATTTAATTAAGAGCCATCTTTGTGAGATTTTTCAGTATTTTTCATTGAGAGCATACACACTATACACACGAGTGATTTTGGGTGTTCTTATTCTAATTGGAGTACGAGTTTGAAGATATGATCAATATCGATCAGAGAAAGCAGAAATCATTCCTTCTACAAAAAATTCATCTTTGAATAAGAAATGTGTTTAGATCACACTTTGAAGAGGTCAAAATATTTGCGGAGTGTTGTTGATCAACCAACAATCTTCTTTAAGGTTCAAGGAGTAAGCCTGAAATCAAGAGTTGTTAGACGAGGGAGTTGCAAAACCAAGGGTGTTCAGCAAGTTGGATCTTGGTAGAGTGAAGGGGTGTGAGCCTGAACAAAAGTTCGGTGCACTTTGCTTCAAACATAGTGAATCGTTTATGCTTGGGACATTGCAAAATTCCTTGAGGTTTTTCAATTGATTTCCTCGCTAAAATTCGGTGTCACTTTGACTTTACATTTTTGCTTTGTGATTTGATTAATTCATTTTTATTTCGGTAAATTTAATTTACGCAAAAATCAGATAAAATAGTAAGTTGAATCTATTCACTCTCCTATAGGTTGCTAATCCATATTATATTCCACAAGCATTCGGTATTGTGCAACTCACATTTGGTAACATCTATTTGTTGCAAGATTTTTGGAAACAAAAACATAAAAACATATTTGGTAAAAAAATGTTTCAAGTTTAAAAAAAATGTAAT